TACTACTACTACTAGTACTAGTACAGTAGTACTACTACTAGTAGTAGTAGTAGTCATCATCATCTTCTCCCCTTCTCCTGGGTTACATTTACTGTTGCTATTGCCTTGCCTTGTAAATCTGGTCCTCAGTGTGATATGACCAATCTAGGTAAATTAGGTACCTAATTAGAATATCATCGCTTCCATGATCATAAAAGTATAACAGGTTCTTTTTAAACAAACATAAACATTTATTAACAAATATTAAGAGCAAATAGCATTCATATAGCATCGTAAGATTAGCAAAAAGCTTTACAGGAACACTCATCTTCTTGAGTTCAAATATGGCCTGAGACACTTGGCGAGTTCTGTGACCCTGGACCAGTCACTTAACACTGTTTGGCTCAGTTTCCTCATCTGTAAAACAACCTGAAGAAGGAAATGACAAGCCACTTAGATATCTTTGCCAAGAAAATCCAAGTGGGGTCACGAAGAGTCGCACACGGACTGAAGTACTCCACAACAACAATAACAAATCACAAACATTATCTCATTCGATAGGCAGGTGCTTTTATTATCCTTATTTTACAGATGTGGAAACTGAGGCAAACGGAGGTTAAGTAAGTTGCTCAGGCTCACCCAGCTAGTAAGGGTCTGAGGTAGGATTTCAATTTAGGTCTTCCTGATTCCAAGACCAGAATTCTGTCACCTGAGCCACCTAGCTGCTGTAAATACACACACATGTATGTATCTATGCATGTGTATGTACATGTATATATATATATATATATATAGATATATATATGTGTGTGTGTGTGTGTGTGTGTCGACAGCTATAGAGAGAAACATACATCTCCATGCAGCTATATATTCTAATGCAGGTAGATATTCTACCTAGAATATAGATATTTTAATGTATATAAATCTCTGTATAGACATATTCTGATATAGCTATATTAGATTAGCATATCTACTAGAGTAATAGGTCTAATATAGATATGTTAAAGCCTATCTCTTTGTGGAGATATGTGTATCTCTACAGATCTCTAAACTCATACAAGTATATTCTAATATAGATTTTTTTTTTTTTGCCTTTCTTTGTATCCCCGCTGCTTAACAGAGTACCCAGGACTTAGGAAATATTTAAAAAATGGTTTTTCACTGACTAATCTAGATTCTAATTCTGCATTTAGGGCTCTTTGCGCTTCAAAGTGAGTAAATGCGTATTCTAAGAATCGCGCCTTGCGCCCTTTCTCGGGCCCGCTGAACGTAACGTCTCCTCTCCATTGTCACCAACAGGACACAAAAATCGCCTCCCTGGAGCGGAACATCCGGGACCTGGAGGACGAGATCCAGATGCTGAAAGCCAGCGGCGTCCTGCACACGGAGGAGCGGGAAGGGGAGATCAAGCAAGTGGAAGTGTACAAGAGCCACTCCAAGTTCATGAAGAACAAGGTGAGGCCCGGGGCTGGGGGGCCGGGGGGCCGGGGGGCCGGGGCTCTGACCCTCTGACCCTTGCCAGGCTAGACCACCCAGGGAAGTGGGATGGCGGCTGTGAAAAACGAGGTCGTTTTGGGCTGTTCCAACACTGATGGTCGTTTGTAGAGTTCAGAGGATGCCAATTAGTGGAGACTCTGCATGGGCCAAGGACCTGGGTTCAAATCCCACCCACTCGTGGGCAATGACCTCAACTTCCTGGCCCTTGGTTTTTTCAAATGTAAAATGAGGGGGGTAGATGCTGAGGCATTTTCCAGCTCGAGAGCTGGGACCCCATGGTTCTTCTGAAAAATTAGAGGCCATGAGTAACAGAGAGGCTTAGATTTTTTCAAGTCATTGGAGGGAAATACTTTAATCACTACTTTCTCTATGAGCGTCATGCTTTTAAATTTTAGTTTCCTTATGTTTCCATTGTGCAGCAAGGTGGTGCCATAGTGCACGAAGTGCTGGGCCTGGAGTCAGGAACACCTGAGTTCAAATCCAGCCTCAGACACTTCCTAGCTAGGTGACCCTGGGCAAGTCACTGAGCTCTGTTTACTGCAGTTTCCTCATCTGTACAATGAGCTGGAGAAGGAAATGGCAAACCACTCCAGTATCTTTGCCAAGAAATCACTAAATGGAGACTAAGACATGGCTGAAACAACTGAACAGCAGGTGTTTCCGTTAGAGAAATAATGTGGCATAATACTAAACAATATTTACAGAGTGCTTAAATATTGTAATATGTAGTATATTCATATGTGTATATATGTGCGTGTATGTATGTTTGTGTGTATATATGTAGACATTTACACACATGTACACATCACATGTACATATTGGATACCAAACTGGCCTCGAATTCAGGAAGACCTTGGTTCAAGTTCTGCCACTGGAATATCCTGGCTGTGTGGCCCTGGGCAAGTCATTGAACCTCTTAGTGCCCCAGGAAACTCTAAGATTGCAAGTTATGGATAAGTTATCAATCTGCGTCAGTGGGAATTTCCACATTGGAAGACCCCCCAGGTTTCCCTGGTTCTTCCCTCCACTCTTTTTTCTGCATTTGCACCCATGGCAAGAAGGCACTTTCCCTCTAAGCTTCATTTTTGTCTGATTTCAGGATCCTCAGTTCATATCTTTCTGATGTTCTTTGTTTTTGGTGGTTGCTGTGGAATGTTGATAGATTAGTGGAGAGAGTAGCTTCATGTACTTTTTTTTAAGCTGAAGTGTTGACCTTCCCTCTCTTCCCCTTCCTTTTCCTTCCCCCCACCTTCCTTTTTACGCTTTCCCCTCTCCCGCCTGCTGCAGTCAGGCCGGCTTCATTTCTTCGACATTTAATTTTGGTTTGTTCATTTGTCTCGTTCAGGGGGAGACTTGAGCAGATCTTTTGGGTACTTTCAGTTTTTTAAAAGTGTCTCTGTCTGTCTCAAGGGTATTTCTTCTTAAAACAAAAATCTTTGCATTACAATAAGCTTTGATTGCTTCTGTGTTCTTGTTCCAGGTTTAAAACCTATTTATTTCTTTATTAAGGGAGGGAGTGTTAGACTAGTGTGGTTTTCTGGGAGAAAACTGTAGGGGTGCAGGAGGGATTTCTTTTTCAAGTCAAAAATAAAGACAGCTGGAAAGGGAGGATCAGTCAGTGCCTTCTCTTTGTAATTTCTTGCAAATGTCACAGCATCATGGGTCTAGAGCTGACTTCCTAGGACACTGAGTCTGACGCCATTTTTTTTTTTGGTGGAAGAACCCTAAAATCACCCAACTGAGATCTCACAGGTGGTGAGTAGGATTCACACCCAGGTCCCCGGCTTCTAAATGTGGCACTCGTATTGAAATATGGACCCAGGATTCAGAGCTGGAAGGAACTCGGAGATTATGTAGCTCATGAATGCCTTCATTTCATAGATGAGGAAACTGAAGCCCAGATGGTTTAAACGATTTGTCTAATGAGTGAAGTGATAGAAATGGGTTTGGAACTCAGGTTATAAACTCATTGATCAAGAGCTTGAAGGAAATCTAGGGACCATCTGGTCCCTAACTCCTTCTCTTTATGAGGAAATGAGCCACAGGGTGGTCACATTACTTCCTTGCATCATGCCTGTAGTAAGAGGTGGGCTTTCAACCGAAATCTCCAGGGCCAGTGTCTTTGCACTGCCCTGCTTGTACAAATGGAGATTTAGGGTGATTTAGCCATTTGACTGTGGAGATGAACCTGGCACCAGGCGAGGAGAATTTCTGAAGGATTCCATTGCCTCCGTCAGTTTGGGGTCTGACAAAGTGAAAGATCCATTTTCCTAAACAGCCCCTCTTTCCTGGCTTCCTCTTGCATCTGGGGATCCCCTCACTGCGTAGAATCAGAGGTACACCCCTTGAATCGGAGGAGCAGAGTTTGCGCTGTCTAGCTCTCAGGAAGGAGACTCTGTCCGTCCAGTGGGCTGAGAGATGATGGGAAGGCTATCTGGCTGGCCGGGAATCTCTGATTGCTTTATTAGATATGAGGATCCCACCCCAAGGGCACACCTGCCTCCTCACATCTCTCAACAGCTCTGTTCATCATCTTGCCATTAACAATGTCACCAGAAGAGCCTCATTCTGCTGCTTATCATGATCGCTATCAGTGCTTGAGAGGCCATATTGGTCCGGCTGTCAGAGACCAATGCTACGCTGGGAGATTCACTAGTGGAGAATGACCAGACAAGGCTCTTTGTATGCCCAGAGACTGATGTGCCCTAAGGCTTTCAGGTTGTCAGAACAAAAGATTATTTAGTCAAAGTTTTTATTAAAAAAGAGCAAAAGGACAAATTGTTAAGGACAAAAGACAAATGTGGGCACTACCACGTGTAATTACAATGCCCTGTTGCTAGGGTGAGCTTCGTTTCTTTCATGAGGCAGAGTTAATCTAATCAATTTTCTCTACCCAATGTCCTTTATTGTTATTAGAACTACCTTAATACAGGCTCTTCTCAAGTAGAAGGCAGCGTGGGGTAGCAGAGAGAGGGCTGGGTTTGGCATCCGAGGCCTGGACACAAATCTTGACTTGGTCACTATCTCTGTGACCTTGGGCAAGTTACTTCCTAACTGTAAAAAGAAGGGATTGAATGGAATCAGGGGTCCTTACCTTTGTTTCTGTCATAGAGACCTCTTTCACAGTCCTCTGGTGATGCTTCTGATCCCTTTCTCAGGATAATGTAATCTAAATGCATGAAATAAAATACATAATATTACAATAGAACTCAATTATTTGAACAAGGTTATGTATTCATATGGACACACTTGTAATACACATATGGGACATCTATGCAATGTATGTATGTATGTATGTTGCATTTATATAATATATAAATATGGTTATATGATATATGCATATATGAATGTGCCTATGTGTACACATATATAATCGATACACGCACACACATAAACACACACAGATATGTATATGTGTATAATATGTACATGTAGACACATTACGTACACACACACAGAGACATATATAAAATATATGAAAGTTCTCTGACCCTAGATTAAGAAGCCCCGGATTAAATGAACTTGAGTGTCCTATCTGATCCTGTATCTATGCCTGAATGTAAAGCATTTATTAAGCACTTACTATGTGCCAAGTGCTTGGGGTACAAATACAAAGGTGAGACAGTCCCTTCCCTCTAGGAGCTTACATTCTAATAGAGGCAGACAGCACAAACAGGGGAATGGTGGCTAGAGAGGAGAGCTTGGGATGGTGGGTGGAGCCTTAGAGGAGTTGGCTAGCATGCCTTGGCCAGGAGCAGGAACAGTTTTGATTGGAGGCTGGGGGTGTACATAGAGGACATTAGGGCCGGAAGCAGCTGGGTCCATTGATCTGAGTGAAACCCTCCCCAGTCGGGCAGCTCAGGGCACCAGGACTGGAGTTCCAGAGCACAATGTCCTCCCAGCCAGGCTCTCTGGTCCCAGGAAACAGCTCCAGGTGGATGCAAGATAATGGCAGGTGTGTGGTTCTCCTAATGGCTCCCAGTTCTGTACAGGCACGCCTTCCCTTTGGAAGATTCAGGGATGCCCTTGCTGTAGAACTGACTAGCCCTGTTGATTCTAGACTATTACCAGACCTTTTTCTGGCCCAGGCGTAGAGCCATGATTTGAGGATAGAACCTGGAGCCTTTCTTGTTGCTTTCTGAGCCCTCCCGTGCTCCTGGATCAAACACAAGATGCTCCACTTGGCTTTCAAAGCCCTTGGTAACTGCCCCCTCCTGCCTTTTCAGTCTTCTTACACCTTGCTCCCCAACGCATATGTTTCCATCCAGTGACCCTGGCCTCCTGGCTGTGCCAGGACCAAGACACCCCTCTTGGCTCTGGGCATCTCATCAGGTTTGACTTATAACTGGTAAGATATTGAAAACAATGACCATCGAGAATGAAAGGCAGCATATTATTGATTTTCCATCTCTTCCGTATCTATCCTACTGGGCTTCTAGGTGGCGCCATAGTGGATAGAGTGCTGAGCTTGGAGTCAAAGAGACCTGAGTTTGAATGTTGCCTCATGCACTTCCTAGCTGTGTAACCTTGAGCAAGTCACTTAACCTCAGTTTTCTCATCTGGGAATGAGGGTAACAACGGTACCTACCTCAAACAGTTGTTATAAGAATTGAATGAGTTAATATACGTAAAAGGACTTTGTAAATCTTCAAGTGCTACTTTAATAATAACAATAATAATGATAATAACTAACTTTTACATAGTATTTACTGTGTACCAGACACTGTGCTAAGCGCTTTTTAATTATTATCTTAACTGGTTCTCACAACAATTCAGGGAGGTCGGTGTTGTTATTATTCCCATTTTGCATATGAGGAAATTGAGACAAACAGAGATTAAGTGACTTGTTCAGGCTCATATGGCTAGGAAGTGTCTGAGGCCATATTTGAACTCAAGTCTTCCCGACCACAGGCCCCAAACTCTATCTACTGTGCCAATTAGCTGCCTTATGTTAGTTATTATTGGCATCACCATCATCATTCTATGTATGTTGTTATTTACATATTTTCTCCTCTATTAGAGTGTGAGCTCCCTGAGGTCAGGGACTGTTTTTAACTCTTCTTTGTATCAGCTCAGCTGGTCCATAGTAAGTGCTTAATAAACTCTTGTTGACTTTACTTCGACTTAGTAGAGAGCAGCCCTGGAGTTATGAGCCCCAGGATTCAAGGCCTCCCTGCCTGTCTGACCCTGCACAGTTACTTAGCCTCTTATTGCTTCAGGCACATTTTTAAGGCTCATCAGGCACCTATCTGCAGTGCTGGAGGGAGTTTCCTTATTGGGAATTCACTGTATAAAGATGACATCACAGATCTAGTAAATGCACACACATGTACACACATACAGACATTCATACATATGCATGTATGTGTGTGTGTACACTGTGACTCTTCACACCTCGGGGTTCATGAGTAGATAACAAGTGACCAAGAAGCTCTGTGCGGTAGATAAATGGACACTGGACTTGGAGTCACTATCCTAAGACACTTGTCCTAATTCTGTCACCAATTAGCCGTATGACCATGGGCGAGTCATTTTATTAGCCTCTTTCCTGATTGTAAAATGAGGGATTGGCATCTCTAAATTTTGAGCTTAAGGCTGGACAGAGTTGGGTTAGTAGGGACTCCCAAAACTGCTGTGTTCATCATTAGTGGCAATAAGGAAATGAAATCCTTTTGGCCAGTGTGATCTGAGGGGAGGGTTAGGTGAGGCAGCACTATGGAGGTGAGAGAGCAATCCCAGAGATGTGAAGGTATGCCAAGGCTCCAAGTAAGCAGGGGTCCTGGGCTGCCACACACAGTCTGCTGGTGTGCGCCGGTACTTGTGTGCTCAAATATGCTTTCTATATTTATCAATAGCTTTCCATATCTATCATCTAATTTATCTACCTAACATCTGTTCGTTCTCTCTCTGTCTCTGTCTCTGTCTCTCTCTCTCTTCTCTGTTTCTCTCCCTCCCTCCCCCTCTCCTTCGCTTTCTCTCTCTCTCCCCCCCTCCCTCTCCCTCTTTCTCTCTTTCTTTTTCTCCCTTTCTCTCTTGTCTGTCTCTCTTTCCCCCCTTCCTCTCACCTCTCTCTGTCTCTTTTTTCTTCTCTCATTACGCTTTTGCCCCTCCCTCCATCTCTCTGTGTCTCCCTCCCTTCTCTCTATCTCTGTCTGTCTGTCTCTTTCTCTCCCTTCCTCTATCCCTGTTTCTTCCCTCTTTCCTCTCTCTTTTCCTTTCCTTTCTTTCTCTGTCTCTCTCTGTCTCTTTCAGTACACTTGAGAAGCACAAGCTTGCAAACCCCTGGTAGGATAATTTGCAAGCAGAATGGTTCCATTCCTATGTTTAAATGATGGAGTGGAATTCAACAATAATACCTAATAGAGAAATGACGTTAAGTATGACTTTTACTCAGAATCATCCTCAATAATAATCATTAACATGTATATGGTACGTTCTATGTGCCAGGCACTGTACTAAGCACTTTAAAACCATCTCAATTAATTGTTATGACAACCCTGGGTGGTAGGTGCTATTATTATCTTCATTTTATGTTGAAGAAACTGAAGCAAATAGAGGTTAAGTGACTTGCCCAGGGTCACCCAGCTAGTATATGTTTGAGACTGGACTTGAACCTCAGGTCTTCTTAACTCCAGGTCCGGTCACTCAGCGGCACCATTAGTCCTTTGAGAATATAATGTACCATACAAACAACTAGGTTGGGGAAAGAATGCTCGCTGGCCTCATTCTGAAGAAGGTTTTGTTCATGGCCTGGCTCATTCTTCTTCCCCGGGCCTCGTAGCAGAGGAGCCTCACCTCCAGCGTGCCCCCCAGCGTCTGCCAACACCACCACTCAGCAGCCTTCTGTGCTCGGCCCCTTCTGTTCTGAATTTCAAGCGTGTTTTCTCACTAACCTCTGACAGTTTGGAGCCCCTCGCCTAGCCAGGCTGTGCAATCATCGAGTGCCCTCCTAGAGATGGGAAGGCGGGATCAGGGATGACAAGGAAGCTGTTTTCTTTGGCGGGCTCTTCGCTCGTGGGGCGGGAGAGGTGTCGCCGACAGAGCTGGGGCAAGAACCTGAGGGAAGATGGAGTGGGTGCGACGCCTGCACCGGCCCCCTGAGACGCGTGATGTCATTCAGACCAGCCTTCGGCTCCATCCTTTCCCGGCCGTTCTCGGTCTTCGGCAGGCCTGTGCTTCTGCTTGTATCATTTTCCCTTTTTATTGAGTTACTGCTATGAGGAGGAATGTCTCCCCCTCCCCCACCAAGGAGATTGCATTTCTCTTAAGAACTATTCTTTGTCCCCTTTCCCCCACTGCCCTTGTCTTTCCCCATCAGCATCATAAGACATCCAACCCAACCTCTTTCTTTTACAGATCAGGAAACTGAGGCCTAGGGAGGTGGCAGTGATTTGTCCAGTCACACAGGTAGTGTCAGAAGTAGGAGGTCCTCTGTCTCTGGACTGTACCACTTTTGTTGTTCAATTGTTTCAGAAATTTCCAACTGTCCACGACTCCATTTAAGGTTTTCTTGGGAAACATACTGAACTGGTTTGCTATTTCTTTCTCCAGCTCATTTTACAGATGAGGAAACTGAGGCAAACAGGGTGAAGTGACTTGCCCAGGGTCACACAGCTAGTAAATGTCTGAGGCCAGATTTGAACTCAGGAGTAGGAGTCTTCCTGGTCCCAAGCCAGCGCTCTGTTAGCTATGGTGCCACCCACTAAATCATGATCTTCCAGAGCTGCTGAAGGCACTGAGATGTTAATTGAATTGTCTAGCTTGTGTGTGTCAGAGGAGGACTTAATCTTCCTGATGCCAAGGATATGCCTTGTACATTCTTTCTCTAGTCAGTAGATATTTCCCCACTAATGGAGGTTTGGGGCAGTTATGAGAATCTCCTCTCCAGAGGGGCCCTGTCTTGGAAGTCTCTCTTAATTATTATTTTAAATGAATCAGTTTCATATGTAGAATCCAACATATGTATGACTGGTCGCAGCTAGATATGCTTTTGTGGGCTTACGTTATTTTTGAGGATATCCATTTTTTGAGGCCGTTGGTGTTCAGTGACTTGCCCAGGGTCACACAGCTGGTAAGTGTCTGAGGCTGGATTTGAGCTCAGGTCCTCCTGACTTCAAGGTTGGGGCTCTATCCCCTGTGCTACCTAGCTGCCCCGAGGATATCAATTCTAAGGAGCAAATGGAAGTTGACAGATTTCTAATTTCCTGTGGTGTGTTTGTTAGCCTCATCCTGGGTGTCCCTTTCTCCATACACTCTCTTTCTTGTGTGTGTGTGTGTGTGTGTGTGTGTGTGTGTGTGTGTGTGTGTGTGAGAGAGAGAGAGAGAGACAGAGACAGAGACAGAGATAGAGACACAAAGAGACAGAGAGATGGAGAGACAGAGACAGAAAGACAGAGAGAGAGAAAGAGAGAGAGAGAGAGAGGGGAAAGTCAGACACAGAAAGAGAGACAGAGAGAGGAAGAGAGAGGGAGAGAGAGAGAGGAAGAGAGAAAGAGAGACTGAGACAGAGAGGGAGGGAGGGGCGAGAGAGAGAGAGAAAGAGAGGGAGGGAAGGAGAGGGAGACAGTGACAGAAAGAGAGACAAAGAGAGAGACAGAGAGGGAGACAGAGACACAGAGACAGAGAGAGACAGAGAGAGAGGGAGGGAGAGAGAGAGAGAAACTATGTCATGATAATCTGTAAGATGCTACATAGAAATATGGCGCAGAATCTTGAGAATGAAGGCAGCCTGAGGGCTTGGCTGGGGCAGCTCCGTAGGGAAAGCAGGCAGCCTTCCTTCCATGTCCCTGGAGTAGGCTCAGCTTACCGTTAAGGGCTTGGCTCCTTCTGGTGATGAGAAGCTCACTCATTTGTGAGACCACCGTAAGCTCACTTGGCATGCTTGGCTGGGAGTTGAGTTTGAATCCTTCCTTAGTCCTTATGATCTGTCTGACACGATGCAAGTCACTTTACTTTTCTGAAGTGGGGAATACTATAAATAAATCAGGCATTTGCTGTTTGATAACTACACCCACAGCAAACACCAGATTATTAGTCCAGTGGCCATTTATGCATAGAGTCATAGATTTTATCAGGCAGGACCAGCAATTTCGAGTTTCTGAAAATGAGGCTGCTCAGGCAAGTTAAATGACTTACCCAAGGTCACCCAGCTATTAAGAACTGGAAGTCTATAGTCAGGCTGTCTGCCAAGTGTTTGGATATAAAGAGGCAGTTTCTGGGGTGCCCTGGGAGGGAGGAGGAATTTGGGGGCTCCCCTAGGGCAGGAGTCTAGTTCTGTGAGTGAGTGGAGGGCTCCCCCATCTGTGCCCTCTGCCTGGCAGCCCCCAAGGTGGAAGGAGCCTCCCTAGAGCTGCTGCGACCTGCCTGGCCTAGGGAGGGAAGGGACCAGGGCCCTCTGGGAGGCATCCCTTCCTGCCTCTGACATGAGCATTTTATTGTTTCAGGTGGATCAGTTGAAACAGGAATTCTCCAAGAAGGAATCGGAACTTCTCGCCTTACAGACCAAGCTGGAAACCCTCAGCAACCAGAATTCGGATTGCAAACAGCATATCGAGGTGCTTAAAGAATCTCTAACCGCCAAAGAGCAGCGGGCAGCCATCCTGCAGACGGAGGTAAGGGCCGTCATCCTGCAGAGGCTGAGCGGGTTGGGCCACGCCTGGCCGTCACACACCTGGGGCTTCCGGTTGGCATTTCATCGTCAGCACCCATGAAATGTCAGGAAGCGGCGTTGGGGAGGGAAGAGGGCTGTGGCTCTGGAGTCTGAGGGCTTGGGTTCAAATCTTGCTTCTGACACACACTGTCTATGCTACCCGGAGAGAGCACTGGACTTGGAGCCAGAAAGACTTGAGTTCAAATCCTGCCTTGGAGACTCACTAGCTGGATGACCCTGGGCAAATAACTTCGCCTCTGCCTCAGTTTCTTCATTTGCAAAATGGGGATAATAATAGCACCTGCCTCCTAGGGTCATTGTGAGGGTCAAATGAGGGAAATATATATGTGTATGTATATATAGGTATATATATATATATATGTATACGTATATATACACCTATATAAATATAATTTTACAAACCTTAAAATGCTATCTAAATAGCTATTATTATTATTATAGTTGTTTTTGTTACTATTGTTGTTAAGTCACAAGATCTCACTGGGCCTCAGTTTCCTGAGCTGTAAAATGAGGGGCTGGACTGTATATCCTCAGGGACCCTTTCCATTTCTAAAACTGAGATTCGTTCGTCCGCTGTACCTGCATGAGAGACGGCTTTGTGTAGTTAAGGAAGCGTTGGCCTGTTGGGAGGACCCGAGTACAAATCCTGCCTCGGACCCTTGCTAACTGCATGACCAAGCGTGCTGAGTCTCAGTTTTCTCATCTGTAAAGTGGACACAGTCATACTGCAGTGCCCACTTCACGTGGTTGTTGCACGGCTTAATGAGGTAATGTACATAAAGTGCCTTACAAACCTTAAGGCATCATGGAAACATCAGCTCTGATTCCGTGGTAAGAGGTGGTGTGGCATAATGGGGAGTGAATCAGCCTTGGAGATGCAAGGACCTGGATTCCAGTCTTGCCTCTGCCACCCACTGACTGTGAGGCCCCGGGTGAATCTCTTAGCTTCTTCAGCCAACAGCGATTCTCTGAGACCGTGGCTTGTGGCCCAGTGGCCAGTGTGAGTTCTTACAAATCCATAGAGGTAGAGGCACGATGGTCCCCAGAGATCACTGGGCAAACCCTCTGACTCTAACAGATGGAGAAACTGAGTCCGAGGCGGGGGGTAAGTCACTTACCCCAGGTCCCATAATTGCTAAGTGTCAGAGGCATATTAATAAATGGGACACTGGACTTGGAGTCAGAAAGAAGTGTCTTCAAATCCTGCCTCTGATTCTTATTAGCAGCATGACTTAACCTCTCTGGGCCTCAGTTTCCTCATTTGTAAAATGAGGGGGTCAGGCCAAATGGCCTCTAAGCCTTAGATCCTCTGCCCCGAGAGCCAGGGCTCTCCCTACTGTTGAATGCTGTGAGTTTCCATACTTGCATTTCCCCAGGTGTTTGAAAACACAGGTGTGGACCATAGGCAGCACCCCTGGGCACGTTTCTGGGGGCTTTTCCCCATCTCCCAGGACGTGTTCTCTGCTTCTTCAGTGTCAGGCTTTGTCCTGCACTGGAGAGGAAGGGGTGGCCACGTGTGTGTTTCTCATGGGCTCCGTGATCTGGGGTGGAGCCCATCACCTGCCCCTGGAAGAAAGCCCGTGTGCAGCTTACCATCATACCTTGGGGTTCTGCGATGCCACTGGTGATAAAAGGGCAGTGCTGACTAGTCATTGGTGTGAAATGAGGGCAGTGACTGTGCAGGGAGCCGTGTGCTTCACCTGTCATCAAAGGGTCAGCATCGTCCCCCCTGCCCCAGGGGTGGGGTGGCTGTTGGTGTCAGGATGCAGGGACTTGGGGGGTGGGACAGAGGCCTCGCTTTGGGGACTGGCCTTGTGCTGCCTCTCCTTGGCTTTTAGCAGAGACTTGCCCCTAGGATGCAGTCCAAGCTCTTCTGATTGGTATTAGTGGCAAAGGTCTGCCCAGATCCCCCTCTCTTCTCAGTGAACTCTGGGGGCTTCCTAGACCCTCTGGTGTCAAATAGAAACTCCTGGGCTTGGCATTCAAAGCCCCTTCCCATCTGGCTGGTCTTCTTCCAAGCGGCTTAGGAGACCTCCAAGGTGCTATCTCACTCTAAATCCTGTGACTGCTCACATGTAATGACTCTGGGGGTCTGTGCCTTAAGCTCGTTGATCATGGGGAGCCAATATTTTGCCACCCTCCTGCTCTGAAAACAAAGTGGATTCTGAGCAACTTAAACCTCTTAGTACAAAATATTCACTTTGGCCTCAACAGCCCACAAATGGTGAGATTTTTCTCTCCCATTTCTCTGCCTTGTCTTTTGTCTGGGGACCTAATACTCCATTTTTTCCCCTCTCTTTAAGATGAGAGATTATAGATTGACTAGAAATTTTAAGGGGATGCCCTTCTGATGGCCAGAGGGGCACCCAGGCCATCCACTCCCCTGAATGGACTGGGATTTCAGAGCATTCGATGCAGCGTGAAGAGGGTGAAGCCAGGGCTGCGTGGCTGGTGACATCCCAGGAACCACACTCCCCTTCTGTCTCAGGTTCCTTCTTGGCTGAATCCTGAGGCTGTCTGTCATGCCTCTGAATTTGGGTGGAGCACAAGTAAAGGGGTGCATGCAGAGGGGAGGGAACAGAGGAGGTGAGCAGGAGCCACTGAGGAACCTCGGCTCCCCGGGCTCCCGTAGTCACCCAATGCCAGTCAGCCCAGCACATATTAAGCACCTACTGTTTACTGGTTGCTGTGCTAGGCAGTTCCTGCCCTGTAGGAGCTTCTATCCTAACGGAGGTTGTATTTTAAGTAGATAACTTACACTATTACTATATTATGCACCTAAATAGATAAGCCTCCATTCGTTATCCAGTTTGTCAGGATCCTAGAGGGAGTAATGAGAAATTAATTCTGAAGTGAGAGTTTAGAGGCAGACTGCGAAGGGCTTTGAATGCTAGGAAGAGGAGGGAGACAGCGGCAGCCTCATGTCCAAGGTCTCGTATGTTCTCCCAGTCACGGCTGGGAGGCTGCGTGTGAAACCAGGCTCCCAGCTGTCTGAGCCCCCACGACTTTGTGAGGGATGCCATCCTCTGGTGATTGGTGAGGAGGTCCTTGATGGGGGGAGCAGGCACGGCCCTCCCCATTGATCGACGCCTCTGTGTGTCTCTGGGTCTCTGTCTCTTTGTCTCTCTCTGTCTCTCCCTCCCCATTCATCTCTCTGCCTGTGTGTCTCTCTGGGTCTCTGTC